AATATATTCAAAATTTATATTCGTATTGTAGAATTATCATGATAACCAATATAACAGCTGTATCTTGTTACATTACGCAGTAATTATATACTTTTATGCATTTATGTATATATTAGATAAAAAAAAATATTATGGTATAATTAAACAAAAACTTTATAGAAAGAAAAATGAACTTCGGTGGATAGATAGTTTAATTGTATAAATATAATTGTTTCTTTTGAGAAATTTTACGTGATTGGGTTGATATCTGTTTTTTTCTCCCGTTTTATTTATTTATTTATTTATTTCTTTCTTTCTTTCTTTCTTTCTTTCTTTCTTTCTTTCTTTCTTTCTTTCTTTCTTTCTTTCTTTCTTTCTTTCTTTCTTTCTTTCTTTCTTTCTTTCTTTCTTTCTTTTATACTTTCATTGCAAATTGTTTTTATAAAACAAAAAATTCCAAAACGATAAATAAAATATATGGTGAATTCCATATCAAATCAACAAAAAAAAGTCGATTTTCAACCCGACCCCCTTCAATTTTTCTTAAATTTTGTATACTGGTAGTATATATTATAACTAAGAAAAAAATGAAATTTTACCTTCCAAAACTATTTATCCGCTAAGATATGGCCGTTTAAAGCGAGGAAAAATGGTACATTTTTGAAAAAATGCACCTCATTTATTTTCAAATATCTCGAGAAATAATTATGTTAGAAAAATAATTAAAATTTTATTTTGTAGCTTAATAAAAGTTCTTTAAAATGACATAAAAATAAATATGATGGACATTTTATAAATATCGAAAACCGGATGTGTAAAATCGGAAATGGTCATAGAAAAAAAAAGGTATTTTTTTTTTTCAAAATTTTTTTTCTGTAGATAGATATCACACTGCTTTATATTTGTACAAAATCCAAGACTGGGATCAAAATGGGTTTAGGAGTTATTACTCTTTATATGGCTAAAATTGAACAAATTTAACATTAATATCATCATATTTTAATTTAATGAATAGTTATGAAATAATGTTATTTAAAAATTATGTCTAAATGATAGGCCCTTACTTTTTTTTAAAAAAAATTTTGAGAGGTGGCTGGGATAATGAGCTGTTTAAAACTTTAGTAAATTTTATCTCGAAATTAAAATTACTTGACAAAATAATTTTAAATATTTTTTTAGCATAAAATAATCAACCAAAATTGAAATTCAACAATAAATTTTCCCCCATATATTCAAAATTAAAAGAAAGGCTTAATATATTATTTGATGAGAATTCTATAGATTATAAAACATTCAAACAATGGATAGCAGTTGATCGAACTACCCTCAAAACACTGACAAAATCCGCTGATGAATTTGTAGATTATTTAATTGAATAATTAGACAATTTAATTCCTCATTTATTATAGCTTCACGATAATCATTAATTCGAAACTTTTTAAAGGATTTAATCAGACCAATAATCAAGCCACTATCAAATCTTTTATAATTTATTACCGTGAGAACAACATAATAAAACATGTAAATTTAGTGGTTATATCAGATTGTTTAAAGCAAAACGCATGTGCATTTTATTTATTTTAAAAATTGATCGTATTCTTGGAAAAAAGATTTAATAGAGTGGCTAAAATTTATTATTTTTCTGATGGAGCAATAACCAATATAAAAATAATAGATTTTATTAATCTCTACAATCATGAAAATGATTTTGGGATAAAGGCTGAGTGACATTTTTTGAAACCGCACAAGGTAAAAGTCCATGCGACATTTTGGGGGCCGTTACTAAACGGTTAGCAGCTCGAGCAAGCTTTAACGTCCATATGAACATCACATATTGACAACAATAGATTTATTTAACTATGCAAGAAATAATATCTATGGGGTAAATTATAGGTTTGTGAGCAATAACGAATATATGAACATAGAAAGTCATCTTGAAAGCAGATTTTTGAGAGCAAAAAGAATTTCTGGAACACAAAGTTCCAAGCTTTTATTCCCCTAGATGAAAACAAAAGTCATAATATATTAAAATTCCTTGGATGATTATAATATATGATATATTTATAAATTTTTGATTGTATTATATGTAATGCAATTTGAGGCAAATAAAGTTATAAATATGTTTAGAATTATTTTGTCAAGTAACTTTGAGACAAAATTTAACTAAAGTGTTAAGCAAAGCTCATTATTCCAGCTACTTCTCAAAAATTTTGATAAAGATAAAAAAATGTAAGGGCCTATCATTTAGACATAATTTTTAAATTAACATTATTTCATAACTATTCAATAAATTAAAATATGATGATATTAATGTTCAATTTGTTCAATTTTAGCCATATAAAGAGTGATAACTCCTAAACCCATGTTGATCCCAGTCTAGGATTTTGTACAAATATAAAGCAGTGTGGTATCTATCTACAGAAGAAAAAAATTTGAAAAAAAATACCTTTTTTTTCTATGGCCATTTTCGGTTTTACACATCCGGTTTTCGATATTAATCAAATGTCTATCATATTTATTTTTATGTCATTTTAAAGAATTTTATTAAGCTACAAAATAAAATTTAAATTATTTTTCTAACTTAATTTATTCTCAAGATATTTGAAAATAAATGAGGTGCATTTTGTAAAAAATGTACCATTTTCCCGCACTTTAAACGGCCATATCTTAGCGGACAAACAGTGTTGGAAGGTAAAATTTTATTTTTTTCTTAGTTTCCCTTAAAAATATGTATAAATAATTTATTTAGGCAGGTGCATATGTAAAGAAATCACACAAGAGCACTGTTACGGGCCGGACTGAGATGCTTTCTTGAAAAATTCGTAGAATTTGTATTGAAAATTAATTTTAATCTCAATAATTTAAAAAAAAATTTATATTCATTTCATTAGCTAATTTCTTTAAAATATATTTTCGATAAAAATGGTAATATCGTTCAAGAAATTTTCAACAAAAAAATCTAATAATTCTGAAAAAGTTGGCTTCCTAAATGGTTATTTTGCTCGTTATAAATATCAAGCCAAAATTGGGGCAGTAACTACAGGGAAGGATTTTCAAATTTTTTTTAAAAATACCTTTTATTTTATGAAGTATCAATAATATGCAATTAAAGGAGTAAAGCGAATATAACATAATTTAGTCATTTATAATAATTTATCTACATTTAATAATATGATATACAATTTTTTAGTCGCATAATGTCTTTAAAAAAAAGTAAAATAGAGCCTTTAACAACCTAGTTGGCATAGAAGGAAGATATTCTTTTATTTAAAAAAGCCATTGTTTCTGAATAAGAACATATGCTTCTAAAAAGTTATATACTCATATAATATGCTGATCATATTCTTAAATTATGATTTTAAACTAATATTATTAGTATGAATTATTTTCTAATAACTTATTAAATTATTTTCCAATAAATGGCTTTCCCACGGTGTCCCCTTCTTCTTAAATGAAATTCCTGGTTACAAATCTGGTCATAAATTAGGCATTTATTATTCTAAAAAGTAATAAAATAGTTTATTTGAAAAGAAACATATAATAAGTTGAAGAAAAAAATATGCTTATCCGATACTTATTTTGGCAAATAAAGAAAGTATATTAAAAATAAAATTGGCAATTTATGAAATCATTATATAAGTATAATAGAAATCCCACGTTCTTCGTATTAGCAAAAAAATAGAAAATAAAATATACATGACTAAATTTAAATTATATATCAAATCGATGAAAATAAAAGGCAGGACCATATATTTTTTAAAATTGTTTATAAATTTTTTAAAAAATATTAAAGAGGGCGGAGCTTAGAGAATTAATGAAGCTAAAATTCATCGAGATAAAAATTAGAGATTATAATATAATATACAATCAAATTTAGGCCTCGTTAATAGAAGCAACAAATCCCGCGATGTCGTTCAGGAGATGCGTAAGTTACGAAATACATAATGTTAAATTATACAACTATGCTAACTTTTAGCGATGAATTATGCATCTTTGAGCGATATCGCGCTTACTATAAACAAGACGCCTTTTGATTTAAGCCTGAAAATCTTATAATTGTTTCAAATATCTGTTAAGCGTAATAAGCTTTATATTGCAAATTAGAGCCCTAAAAAATATACTTTTCAATTTTTGTTGAATTTATCTGGCTATTCACAAATTTGAGTTAGACATGAACTAATTTTATTTGATTTCTCCTATTTTAAATTGGAAATCACAGAGAAATATATTTCTCTCATATTCTTATTAAGCTACGTATAAGAAATTTGATTTGCTTTGAAGTCGAACCTTATTAATAAATTTAATGTTAATATAAAGGTCAATATTGCCGGCGACGTGTAAATTGTTAATAAGCAACAAAGTATTTTTTTTTTAAATTAATACATCGTACACATATGTTGCTTATTTTCTTCAATCCTAGATCTTTCCTCACGATGATCAATGAAAAAAAATTCGATAGAGAATAATTTCGGTTAATTTAAAATTAAATTGATTTTTGCTTCATTTTATTTACAGGAAGAGGAAAAAAATTGTGTAATGAATTTTAAACTCATTTAATATACAAATATAGAGAGGAGTTTTACAAATTCCCGTATAGAAAATTATGCAATGATCATTAAATCGGAGTTATTACATTCTCTTGTATCTCGATGACCCCAAAATATATTCTTATTATTGTTATTTAAATAGAATTGTAATTGTTTTATTGCAATGTATCCAACTCTGACAATTAATTTTGCAGACCTTTCAAATCTCCCTTCCTTCAACAACCAATAACATCCCTCTGATAACTCAAAAATAAAATGAATGTATACTGACTATTATGTAAGTTATCTAAGATACCACCTCCTGAGTTAACTCCGCCCACCCTGATTCTGAAGATTATAATGCAATTGAATCGTACCCCTCCCCCACCCCACTTCCTTTCCGTGTTAAAGAGACCTGAAATTTCGAACAAAATAATTCCCTCCCTGAAAGAATGAATAAAAAATAGAAGTATTAAATATTCTTATTAAACATACCACATCTAGAATTTGGGTGAGTCTGAGTCCCAATCTAATCGTCAATTTATCGCTGTTATTCCCTACTGGTCTGATCAATCTATTGTAATTACTTAGCAAATCATCGTATAGCCTACAATTTGTTGTTGTTTTTAAATAAAATCATTAGGAATAAATTTCCATAAGGTAGGAAACTATATAGTAGAATCCCCCCCCCCCCCCGATTAGAGTAAAAAGAAAGTAGACTTAAAAAAAATTTTTGTTGTATTTTAAATTTCCTTTAGATTTAAAATGTAAAAAAATTATCCTTTAAAAGTAACCATGTTACCTTTTAGCATCAGGGTTGGCGGTCACTAGAGTTAACCCCAGGTTAGAGTATGATGAAATGAATCCATAAAATTGATTTCTAATATTCGATTTATTAGCGATATTCCCAATATCTTCCCGGCTATATCGCGAATTTATAACGAAACTAAAAACGAAGATAATATGGTATATGAGTTTTTTAATGTTGGAAATCGTTTGGGAATGCCGTTGATCATTTTTACCGATTTCCGATGGCGAAAAAATTGCAATCAGGTAAAGCGATAAGCTAAATATCCAACCTATTTTTATCTCACCTGTCCATGGATTTAATAAGAATAAAAGGAACAGTATGTATTTACGGGAATAAAAAGAATTCATTTGTATATAATATTCAATATTTTTAACAAAATAAATTCTTTAATACATTTCTCTAAAAAGAGATTATCTTTTTTATCTACATCATCATTTATTATTTTTTTAGTAATAATAAAACCGAATTAGAAATTTAAAGAAATTTATTAATCTACCAAAATTTAAAAAATAAAATAAAAATAATATTATTTAAAAATTTTCTTGGCATTCTACTAAATATTTGAAAAAAATAATTTATGATAATAGAAAAAATATATTATCATTCAATAATATGAAAATTACTACAGAAAGTAAAAAAGTCCCAAAAGAGATTTTATAAAATAAAAATTAAAAAGTTATTATTATTCCTTAAATATAAAAATTATTTTAAAATTGATTTGATAGAGATTTATTTTTTCTCCTATATTATTTATAGATTTTTTATTTTTTTTTGTGGATTTCAATAGATCGATTCATCAAAATTAACCAGCAGCTCTTATCTGTTCGAAGCGATGACTTTAAGAAAAAACTTAAATGACAACCCAATTTTGAAAAATAACCCTATTTCGAATTTATGTAAGAAAGAAATTGATTTTACCATCATGGTCCAGAAATGTTAATATATATGATGGGGAAAAAGTTATTATAGTTTTCAAAATTTCTAAAGGAAAGCTAATATCAAATATATTAATTTTCCAAAAGATAATTTAAAGAATTCATTGTAATTCCTTTTATCATAATAAATTAGGAGGGTTATATTAGAAAGATAACGATCATTTTGGCAGTTGGCATCTTTCATTTTAGGCACAAAAATTTTGAACAAAATTCTTCATCTACTTAGTGTTGTTAAACAGCTCGATCTGAGCCGATTTTTAAAAACGAACTCAACATTATAGCCAGGAAAATATTGCCTAAGCCTCGAGATTTCGCCAATAGATGTTCGATCCTATGTGCCATCAATATGAGCAAAATCTATAGGCTTGCATAATATTTTTCTGGATAAAATATTGAGTTAGCCGATTTTGAAAATCGGCTTAAATTGAGTCGTTTAACAACACTACATCTACTAAATAAAAAAAAGATTTGTTCACTACTTAATAATATTTTAGGAACTATAAATGTGACAATTTATCAAATTTACCCCATACCCAAGGTAAGATGACTAAGAGGGTAAAGAGGTTAAAATAAATTCACAACTTTATTGTTATATTGAACAAATTATTAACACTTTTGAGATTTGTTAATTACTTTTAATTATAAAATAATTATTATAAAAGGGAATGCAAAGAAATTATCAAAATTAGTGGGCCCATTTTGGACACATCGGACATTTTAATTATTCTTCACCTGCCGCTTTACCCAATATAATTTTCATATATAAATTATTGCAGCTTCTAGTTAAGCTATAAACTTCCAGTATGTATGCCCAATTTTAAGGGCTAAAAGTTATTCGCGTTAACTCTGTTACCCCGTCAATCGCCTCGGTCTCCCCTATGACTCCAGTCTGCTTGTATGTAATTATGATGACGTATTTAATCCATAAAATCTCTCTTCCTTTTGATCATTAATTTTTGGCCATCATTATGCCATTTACATAAATTTGAATTTAGGAAGAGATAGATTTATGGATAACAGTATTTTTTTTTAAATTAAAAGTGTCAAAGTAAGTTTTGAAAAACTTTAATCTTTCTTTTTTTAAAAAAGAAAATATATAATAAATATTTATATATCTAATCCGTCAGATTTTTAAAAAAATATTATTTATATCTTTTTTATATCATTTATATAATCCAAATTTTATAGTGGTTTAATTTGTTAAAAATTTTAAAAAAATTTATAACATTTTTTCCTAAATAAATAAATATATGTGTAATATAAAGTTTAAAAAAGTTTTATTGATTTAAAATGATATAAATATTTTGTAATTTAGAGTTAAATGGAATAGGAGGTGGAAGAAATGAAGGAGGGGAGATGGAGAGGGGAAAAGGAGAAAAAAAGAAAGAGGGGAGGATAGGAAAAGGAGATGTTTTTGCAGTGATTTATTTTCAAAAATGCATTTGCTGGATTTATTTTTTACAGATTGACAATTGCGTTAAGGCTTTCTGCTAAAAATTCTGATACGTTAATGTCATAATCATTCATTAACACATTTTCGGGTAAAAAAACAAGTTATATGCTCAAATTAAAAATTATTTTTTATATGATATGGGTCAAGATTTTCTGGCATGGTTTCAAGATAATATTGTAACTCTCGGCTAATTGGCTGTAACTTTTGTAGGGGAGAGTGAGATACTTGATGCTTTTAATGATTCATTGTAAATTAGCATAGTATGAAGAGGGGGGGGGATAATTGAAGCTTTATTATATATTTTATATTTAATCATTTGGGATCTTTGGCCCTCCAGGAAAAAGATTACAGCAGATATAACTGAAATCCGTTACGTGCAGTCAAATAAATGTGAAAATGTATTCCCACCTTTCTACTTATCACCAGTGCAACCCTAAATATTATCAGCTTTAAATGTATAGTTATATTTACAGAGTTTCTCATTAAAAAAGGAAAAAGTAAGGAAGTGGACAATCAAAAAAGGAAAAAAGTCCAACAAAAAAAGAAAACTCCCACAAGAAACGAAAAAGTTCCAATCATAAAAAGAAAATAATCAAAACATATCGTTTTCGTATCTTCTTAATGTATTTAAAATTTAAGGAGACTATATAGCGTATAATATTTTGCCATCTATCAGTATCGAACCGAAGACCTCCCGTTTAAAAAGTGTACACTTTAAGCATGCACCAACTTGAATTATAATTAAATTTAAAATATTAATTATATATATTAATTAATAGCTGATATTTTTAAAATTTCCCCGTTTATTACCATATTAAATTGAATTAATTAGCTGATATTAAAAATTTTGCCGTATATTACCATATTTTTGTGACATAATAATTTTGGAAATTTTTTCCCAAGCCAGGAGATAATTTTCAAGCCAGGAGATAGGTAAATTTCTAAAAACATAGCTATTTTTTATTCGTTTAAGGGCATTTATTGTTTTCATAAAGGGCCTGACAGGTTAATGATAGGTATTGCCTTAAGTTAGTACTTATCAAATTTGTATTTTGTTTATTTTTCATTTGGATAGGCATTACCAAATTTATTTATAATATATATTTAAAAAATGGTGAATTTTGAAAGGCGTCTGTGGCCTAACCGGTAAGAACCTCGCTTGCCAATCCGATGGTTTTGGGTTCGAATTCCTGTAAAGACCATGTTTTTTTAATACAATTTGTGGTTCCGTCCTTTGGGGGTTGATATATAGGATGCCGGACTCGACCACAAGATTTCGTTATAATATATGTTAAATAATATGGGTCTTATTAGATTTTAATAAATTTTAGTCGGTTGGTATTGGTATTTAAATTCTTATACATTGACTTGGTAGTATCTATCATTAACCGACTATTGGCCTGAAATTTTTTTTTGCAGACATAACCAGGCCTGATCAAAAAACCAAGTCTACATACAACTTTAAATTTTGCCATTTATTTCTATTGTAATTTATTAACAATGTCTTAAATTTAATTTTATATTTAGAATAAAATTTAAATTTGTGATAGAAATCATATTGTGTAAAATTTAAAATAGAGATGCTTGAAAAATTTTAAATATGGGCTAGACATTGGCCTGAAAATTTTATTTTGCAGCTGATCAAAAATCAAGGCCCATGTGATTGTATTTTTAAATGAAATATGACTTTTATATATTTTATTTCAGTTCTCAACTACTAAAATTATGACGGGCTTGAGAGAATTCTCCCAACATTATAATGTGCATGAACCTGGCTTGTGAATTTTTTTAATAATCGATATTAGCCATAATGCTTAACACAGAATATTTATATGGGTCTCAGGTAAAAGCTAATTTAAATAAATTTTTACTCAAAAAATAGTATTCACTCTTAGTCTTAATGGGTTAGCTTTGGTCTGAAGTAGGATTGAGTGGAATTAAAAAGAATAAAAAATAGATATGGTTCTTAAAGATTTACCTAGCTCCAGGGTTGGGAAAAAATTGCAAAATTATTATCGGTTGGCCAGGTTTAAGAAAAAAATTTTAAATTATAATGGGCCGGGCTTGGATTGTTTTTATAAATTATATTGGGCTGGGCTTGGGGAAAATTTTTCAAAATTATTATCAGCTTGGATGCTTGGGAATTTTTTATTATTATCTATGGATCAGACATTGACCTGAAACAAATTTTTTTTGCAAACTTGGGCTCTGCTTGATCAAAAAACGAAGGCCCATAAAATCTGATTTTGAATGTATTTTTAAATTCATTATGAATTTTTAATATTTTTTTCCAGTTCTCAACTACCAAAATTATTAAGATCTTTGGTTGGGCTTGGGGAAATTTTTTCAAAATTATTATGGCCTTGGACCTTGCTTGAGAATTTTTTAATATTAAATATTAGGCATAAATGATCAGTAATATTTTAACAAATAATATTGATATGGGTATCAAGTAATAGCTTTAAATATATTTTGGCTCAAAACATAGCATCTACACTTAGTTTTAATGGATTGGACCTGGCCTGAAGGGAGGAGGGGGTTATAAAGAATAAAAATTGGATATTATTTCCAAATAACAGGTAACAACTATCATAAAAGTAAGGATAAAATTCTTATTCCCCGTCTTTTTGACGGGCTCAGCAATGCTGACTAACGAGAGCTTTGGTAAACTTAGTTATTATATTTTCATTTTGCCCATCAAGGAAGACGGGTCATCATACTTTTCTCCCTTATTCGATGATAGATGAATCAGAAATTAATAATATCTTATAAGATGTGATTCACAAATTTACCTCTTTTTCTCCTAAATTTTAATATTTTTATAAAATATATTAATAAAGTATAATTCAACCCCGTTATTCTTGACGGTTTATTAGCTAGTTATTATATAATTGCTGTTATTTTTTCCTTTTTTTATATTTTTCTTTTTTAGTTATTTTTAATTTTCTTTCTTATTTTTTTTTCTAACGATACCAAACGATAAGTGAATT